CCCCCCCCAAATTTTCGATTTTTTTTTTTTTTTTTTTTGTGCATAGGCCTGCAGCGGCCGACGTGCGCAGGCCTACGGCGCGCGCGGCTTTTAAGAGCGCGCGCCCGCTTGCGCGTGGCGCGGCCGCGCGCGGACTCGGCCGAGGGCCTGCGGCCTCGGATCCTGGCCGCGGACTCTGATCCTGCGGCCGCGACCTAGGTTGCCACGTAGTTTGGGACTAATCTAGAAAAATGATCACTTCCTACGGATCAAAGCGATCCCATGGAAATTCGCAAAATGTGATATCGAAGTATGTGGAGTCCCGTACAACGCCATTATCGATTCTGGGGCCGCTGTCTTAACTATCTCACTACGAGTAGTCGAAAGAGCGAGAAGAAAGAAAGATTGGATTATGCTTGCGGAGAAGGATCAGCTAGTCTCAGCAGGTGAGGAAAAGATGAAAACAGTGGGACGAATGACCAATGTTGCTTTTCGACTGGGTAAGGTGCACGCTCTGGGGGATGTCGTAGTATTAGATGTCAGCACTTATGATGTTTTTTTGGGTTTACCTGCTCTTATGGCTCTGCGAGCCAACTTGGACTTTGAAAGACGATCGATTATCCTCCGAAACACGGGAGGAAAACCCTACGTCATACCTATGAGGCTGACCCTTCGTACTTTTGTTAATATAGCCCCACAAGTTTCTCAGGTGATGGCGAGAACTCTCCGTGTGATCACGTGGGAAAACTACGCGACGATGAGCAATCGTTGAAGGATGTGGACAGTAGTGACGAGGATTATGCGGCAATTCTGGAGCTGGCGCGACAGCGCATCTGTTACCCTGCACAACGAACGAACGCAAAACCTCTGAACCTGACTGATCGAAACTTGCAGAGGACGCGGGCAATGATTCTGGGTGAACCTCTCGTACAGATATTGAGGATGGTCGATTCTTTGGAACCCCCTCGAACCTTGTACGAAGGTATTTCCCCTCTCCTTGCGTGATATAACGACAAGAGACACTTCTGCGACATCACGAGCCTCCCGCGATCTCTTTTGCCACCTGCAAAAGAGATACGATTGTTACGCTTAGGGGCGGAGGCCAATTCTTTGGAACCCCCTGAGCGCCTGGAAACCGGACTCGGGATCAAAATCGCAACGAAACCCGTGCCATGGAAGGATATTCGCGACGGAGTAACCCCGGAGGAACACGTGGCCATTCAAGAGCAGGACGCACAAATGATGGCCACGATATTCTCTTGGCGGTTGGATAACTCATTTATCTCCACACCCCCGCTTGAAACCACTAAGCAGGTAAGTACGAAACAAATCGATGTGCAGATATGGAACCAGTCGTATGAACTGCACGTACCACACTATGTACCTGATACTCAGGAGCGGTTAGCGTGACAGACACAGACATTGGACTATCACTGGTCATACAACACGAGATTCAAACCGGAAACCATTCCCCGATCCACTGTAAACCTTACAGATATTCTCTAGTGAAGCGGAAAATGGCACTTCAGCGGATTCGGGAGTTCGAAGCTAATGGATGGATCGAGCCCGCCACTGGACCATGGTCATTCCCGGTAGTATTAGTGCCAAAGAAAAATGGGTCGATTCGCATTTGCATCGATTATCGGAAGTTGAATGATATCACGATTAAAGATGTGTATCCCCTCCCCCGGATTGATGATTTGCTGGATGCGATTGGGTGTGCTAATTATTTTAGTAAATTTGATATTTGTCACGGCTTCCATCACATTCTGGTTAAGGAGGAAGATCGACCGAAAACGGCCTTCGTATTGTTTGAGGGCACATGGCAGTGGGTCCGGTGCCCGATGGGGATTTGCAATGTACCTGCCACGTTTCAGCGAGCTATGAATGTGACGTTTCATAACTTCGTCAACAGGACACGGCTGACTCAAGGAATTATCAATTTATGTGTCATCGTGTACATGAACGACATCTTAGTCTACTCGGAAACCTATCACGGGCACGCACAGCATATCGAGTGGACACTGTGAGCTCTGAGAGACGCTGGGTTCAAGATCGCGCTCGAGAAGAGCGAGTTTTTCCCGTTAGAGATCTCGTTCTTGGGCTACATGGTGACGCGGGGAGGACTGCGGCCAGATTCGAGAAAGGTCGCGGCGGTGAAGGATGCCCCCGTTCCCACATCGCTAACGCAGGTTCGAGCTTTTCTGGGACTGGCGTCGTACTATCGACGTTTCATCAAGGGGTTCGCCGCAATTGCGCGGCCCCTAACGAACTTGTTACGAAAGGACCAGCCTCTCAGTTGGGACGCCGAGTGCGAACAGGCCTTCGCCACCCTCAAGAACGCCCTGGCCACAACACCTATTTTGATCCGGCCGGACCCTACGAAGCAGTTTATTCTCATTACAGACTGGCAACTGGAGGCGATTTCCGCTATCCTGGCGCAGAAGGGGAACGACGGTCGTGAACACGTCATCAAATATCCATCACGCACGGTGCCAGACGAGCGGAGGAACGATTCGGCCCCGCAAGGCGAACGTTACGCCGTGGTCTGGGGGATCCAGCCCTTCCATCCGAACCTCTATGGACAGAAGTTTCTTCTTGTGACTGATCACGAACCACTATTGGCTCTCAAAAGGCTCACTAATTATACGGGCATGATTGGGCGTTGGGCGGTGCGCCTACAGGGGTACGATTTCGACATCATCCATCGGAAGATGAAGAGGCACGGGACGCCGATGGGTTGACACGTCTGCATCGACCTGCTAAGGTACCTAAAGGCGAAGAAATCATTCCATGGAAGGAACCGAAATCGACAAACGGACCCAAGTACGGACAAGTGGCAGTCCTTCCACGTGGCAAGAAGCAGACAAGTGGCAATGGGGAACGGAGGTAATCTTACAACCTCTCTCTCCCCTCTCACCTTCATCTTTTCTCTCTCTTCCCGATAAATTTTGCTATTTTTGCGAAGCGATTTCACGTGTTTACTCTGTCTCTATGCATCCTAGCGGGGAAGGTTATGTTGAGTGGGTAGATTGTCGGCAATGTGTCGCACGAGCCCATGGCTCTTGCATTCAGCATCGAAATGACGACAAGCCTTGGTTGTGCCCCTTGTGTCGAGTCGATAAGATCCCGACCGAGGCTCGCTTTCTTGAAGCCACGTCGAAAGGGTTAGAAAAAAACCAAAAATTTAGAAGGGTCGAGGTATGGACGGATATTGCTTTAATGGCCACCTTGGTAGTTAACCCCCTCCACGACTTCACTAAGGAGGACCGGAGGAGGGCCAATGAAAGGGTTCGGGATTATCGCTGGAACAAAGGTCGGTTTGAAAAGCAGAAAATGGACAGCAGTGGGATTTGGATGGTAGTGCCGCACCTGTTCATGAGGTATGACTGGGTTAAGACGGCGCATGAGGAAACTGCAGCCCATTTTGCCGTCCAAATTATGGAGGCGAAAATCGACAAAAATGAGTGGTATTGGTCCAATATCAGCGACGATGTAAAATTCATCGTCCAGAACTGTCAGGTCTGCGCTGCCGACAAGGCGCCGATTCAGCCACCACGATCAATATTGTCGACGACACTTGAATGGTCATTTCATAGGGTTAGCATGGATACTACTGATATCGGGGTGCCCCCTGGACCTAATAGTTGTGAGTATTCAATCCTACTGGTATTTGTAGACCACTTCTCAAAATGGATTGAGGCATATCCGTGTCGTACGCGACAGGCGGCTGAAATCGCTCGATACGTCAACCGCTTTCTTGGAATGCACCAGGACACGAAAGAGATTCTGACTGATAATGGGGTAGAATTCAGAGGGGAAGTTTTGAGGAACCTGGCCATACATGGCGTCGCCATACGGAATACTGCACCCCACATGTCACAGTCTAACTGGCTGGTAGAGAACGCGAATAGGGTGATTAAGACTGCACTGCGTCGAAACATCGCGGCAGGGGATCAGAGACCTTGGCCCGATATCGTAGATCACATTCTGGCGGTCCATCGAGGAACGCCCCACGAATCGACGGGTCTGAGTCCCTTTCAATTACGGGCCAACATTGTAGCTTGCGTTTCGATACCGAGCCTCCCGGACGAATCTTCGCTGAACCGACGGCCCACGAGGGCCACAATTCGAGACAAGGCCAAGCGGCACCTAGAACTGATGGAACGATCCCTTCCCCGACTAGCCCGAAAGCGCCAGAAAATGACTGAGTTGGCCCACGGCTGACAGGTCCGCAGTTACGAGGCCCGGAATGGGAATGCGGGACCACAGCCCCACTATAAGTTAGGGGACATCGTGCAGGTAAGGAAATGTGCTCGCCAGGGTAAGCTAGCGCCACGATTCTTCAGGCGATTTCACGTAGTCGAGCTCGGTCCGAACGGAGTGAACACGGTGTGGCTCTTGCCTTAGGTCTCCGGCAGCGGATCTGTCGGCCCTATCACTCGCCATTGTCCTATCTGCGGCCTCTTCCTTCCTTTCCATCTCCGCCTTCGTCCGCCCCCTCCTCCAGTACGGAAGAGGACCACGCCTGCTTATCGCCCTCTCCTTCTCTGTCTCGCTCCCCCGCCGATACTCCGTCCCTGTCGCCATCGCCATGAGTTTTTCCACTTAGCAGGTTCTTGGCGAGCACATGCTAGCACCACGCGATGATATTTCGGCCATCAGACAAGTTCATCATCCACGGATCGACCCGGATTCCCTCCAATTTGTGCAGTTTTTCAGCATCACTGGGTATATGCGGCGACCGAGTTTCGTTTTGCGGCGCATAGCCGGACAATCGTGTTGGCCGAAGCATCGACTTATCGACGGCTTTCAGCGCCAGGGGTCAGCCACGTGTCTACCGTCATCGTCTTCAGCGGAGACATCAGCGCGCTGGATCCTCTAAGGCATACGGCCATCCGGACATCGCTAAGGAGGTGGGGTGAACAGCTAGCACAGGAGTGGAGTCGGGGGCTTGCGCGGCACGGCGACAACGTCGTCGTCACCGACAGCGTCAACGTCGGCGGGCTCCGCACGTCCCAACGCGAGCCGGCGGTGGTGCTCCCAGAGCTCGTCCCCTTTCTGCGCCCTCAATGAACCGGTCCCAGTTCTCGACCTTTGCCCTCCCCTCTCTCTTCCCCACTTTTTGGCAGTCTGCTCTCCATCCCCGTCTTCTTTCTGTATCCAGCCACTCGCCGTTCCCCTTATCGAGCCGAGACACTGGGAGATCTGGTGCGAGCACTACCTCACTCTTTCGCTGTGCCTGGTCGAAGTGGAGTTGACGTGGACGCGGGACAGTGAGCATCGTGTTGCGAGGGAGAGCGTGGAGCTGCTAATCATCCAGGCCTAGAGAACAGAGGTGGAAGGACACCAACTCGGTTTCATCTTCGGAGCAGTGGAACCAGGTCATCGGCAGACAATCCTGTGGGAACTCATGATCCCCTTTGTGCAGCTGGTCGACGACCTCCCCCTCGACTGACGAGAGCCCAGTACCACACGTTCTTTCGCGGAGATTAACGTCGTACTTACAGTGGTCAGCCTGCCTGGAGGATAGAACGGGAGGTGGCAGCTACCCATCGCGCGCAGAGTACCTAGACCCCCAGGGGATTATCGACGTCCTCTTCTTTTCGCCTCAAACAGTGGTGGAGGAGAGAGCCGTGGCGGAGGAAGCGGAGGTGGAAGACGAAAGCGAGGAAGAAACCTCGGAGGAAGAGGAAAGTTACAGTGAGTACAACGAGGAGGATCCCGGAGAAGAAGAAGATGAAGATCAGTTGGAGGAGGAGGAAGAATCTGAGTGGGAGACTCTGGGTGAAGAGGCGGATTGCGCAGAGGCTCAGGAGGAGGATCCCGAGGCGGCAGCACGACAGAGAGAAGAAATCATGGCTGGGAAGCAGCCACTGGAGTACAAAAGCGGCGCGGATCTGCCGATCCTGAACGACCCAACCAGGGATCTCAAGCCGCCCAAGAACGACGATGGGGACTCCACTGCCGAGACTTCGAGCCCACCGGCGCGGAAATGACGAAGCGGCTTCCGATCCCCGTCCCCCCGTCCCCCAGTTCGAGCACGTGTCGATGCGGGGCATCGGGCTTCATCCCCACTCATTATCCCGCCGTCCCCTTGATTACCTCACACTCCGCCAGATTACTATCCCGGTCTCTTTCCCCCACAACCCCTTCCCGACTAACACCTTTCGTCACTTTTACGCTACCCGCCTCGCTGTCATGGTAAATCCGCACCCCTCTTAGCCCTCTACTCGGTGCGCCACCCCTGTCTTTTGTCTCCACGTCCTTCTCTTCAGTGCTGCGTGGTGAGGCCACAACATGATCGAGGTTTATTGCATGATCACGGGGACTATCCCCGCGTGCGAAAACCATGATCAGTTCCGGACGGCCCTCCTTCGCACCTTTACAGCCCTCTATCCCGACTACCTCGCGTCTCTCCCCCATAGTAGTACCCACTTCCCGCGCCTCCATCGGATCACCCGATATCAAGAGCTTTTGTGACAGTCGCGGGAATGGAACGCTTCCTACCCCCACTTCCGACTAACCCGCCCCCTCAACACGCCCCCATGTACCGCCTTCCCTTTCCTCTCCCTGCTAATTACTGATGCGTGCGCAAGGGTGGCAGAGCGATCCCCTTCTCCAATAGATAGAGCCCTTCCTGGGGAACTTGTAGGATAGAGCCACGTTTGCCACACTGGATGACGTTCACACTCTTATCATACGGTAAGCGGCAACGAAGAGAGTTTCGCGTGTCGATCGATTAGAGAGATCGACACGTGTCGTAATGTCAAGCAAGCAGGAGCTTGCTTAAGATTGGAACCCCCTGGGCATCACATATATGACGAACCAATTTCTGTTCCGCGCGATCTTCTGCGTGACGACAATGAGGGGTCCTCAAATGGGAAGGTTGGGCCAATTACGGGAGATCGGGATCGACGGGAAAGTTGCATCAGTGTCCTCGCTTCTTCGTCCTTTCTCGTCGCCCCTTTTCGGATGGTTGGGTTCAGGGCTGGGCAAGTCTCGGGATGGTCGATTGAGTGGCTGGCGCGCCGACAGAGGCGCGATTAATAATGTTTGACGTCGCTTCTTTCTTGTTTTGTTGTCGGGTTATTGGCGCAGTGATCGCGAGGGAGGTTTTGCTTCTTTTTTAATTTGTTTTTCGAATCTTGTCGAGCCCTCGATGGCTCTCGGAATTTTGGACTTTCTTTTTGGGATTTGTGCTTTAATAAAGTTCTTTTGCATTTTTGCGTAAATAGGAATTTAGGAATTTAGAAATTTAGGAATTCAGAATTTTTTTTTGTCGCGCGGTGCTTTTTCGCTCACGCGCTTCTTTTTGCAGCTGCGACGGAGCTCTGATTAGTCGGCGCCCTTAATCTTGCGTGTAACTATAATTTTGGGAAGGGCGCCCTTGTAACTGTATCCTTCTTTTTGAGCTTCGTCCTTCCCGCCCTCTCTCTTCTTTCCTGTGTCTAGTCGGCCCGCGGGCTGCATGATCGGATCGATGCGTGGAGAGTGGCTACGTCCCCCACGCCGCGATTTGGCCATGCAGAACGTAGGCGCTGCCTCCCCTTCTCTCCTTCTAAGTCCTTGCAAATTTCGTGTTCTTCACGCATGCATGCACGCTATAAATTTCGACTGCGCGATTAGATAGCTCTCTTAAACAGTTGTGGAAGCTCGGGGTAGCGTGATCAGTGAGGGTCGGCCCACGAGCAAACTAAGAGGTGAGTTGAAGTGGGAGTTGGGCGACCCGACGAGCTGGTACCGCATGCGCGGGATTGACGCATGGGGCTACGACAGACTGTAGCGTGCGGGCGAACCCGACGGGTGCAGGGGGACTAAGCGGGGTGACAACTTCGTGGGTTGGTGCGTGACGACGGACTGTCCGCATCGGAGAGAGAGAGAGAAAGAGTTGAGATGGATGGACGCGGAGTTGTAATTTTCTTTGTCTTTCTTAGTCTTGTATATAAGTTTTGATTGCGGCTCGGGCAATTCGCCCTCATTTTCTTTCGGCATCTTTATCTCGATGTTGTCCCTCGTATAAAGTCTCATTGCATATTGGAGGGACGAGTCCTGATGGAATGATGTGCTTGTCGTTTTTGCCTAGTCATCATCGTTATCTGCTGATGTCATGATGAGAGTTTAATATTGTCGCGATGCCTGATGTGTGCGATGTCACTTTGCATGATCAGAAATGATTGTTTGCGGGATTACATAATGATTGTTGGGTGATTATCTGTGCCGCGTGGAGATTTTGCATGTAACATTGAACTCTCACTTTTTGCACAAGAATCAGCCAGGAGGCCCGTGCACGATCGAACACCCCGTGTGCATACGTGTAAGCGCGATCTGATCAGCGCGGCCTACACGTGCCCACACATGGACGATTTGTGATCACTCACGAACTCGGCATCTCCAGTATCCGAATAAGTGTGAAATTTCCTTTTTATGAGGATTCGGGCCGATAGGAATTTTCGCCACCATACCCGAAAATTTCCTTGTCGATCGAAGCATGATCAAATACGTGCGCCGGAATGACAAGATGTCGTACATCGCAGACCGGGAGTACTTAGAGCACTGGGAGGAAGAACATCTTAGGCTGAGATATCCAGAATTTCTCTGTCTAACCGAGAACCGACTGTGCACTGGGACTTTCACTGTGCCATAACCAGCGACCCGAGGTGCCCCGACTATCCGACTACTTACAACACACAATATTTCATATCCCCTGGCTTCGTCGCTATCGCTACCAATTTCCCTCCCTTCCACATCTTCCTCCCGTACCACCAGCTCACGGTGGTTCCGTGGAATTCTATAGCCCCGTATTGGCCCCACACTCCGTGCAGAAATTGCAGACGACGCGGCAACCGCCGAGCCTCGGGAATTACTGAGCCTAACCATAACACGAGGCGACAACCGCCATGTGTCCCCACCCGGAGGTCCGACTCATAGAAATCACAACCCGTACGGACGGACCTTTCCCGAACCGCCGCCACTAAAACAGGCGGATCGGACGACCCAGGATGCACCGCGCATGTCATCTTCCTTATGCTGCACGATATCGACCGCCATCAGACCGAAAGTAACTCATCCCTTAGCCTTATTGCACCTATGCCCCTGAACCCCTGTCACAGGAGATCTCAGTTCTGACCTGGGACTCCATCCCCTTTTTCCCAAAAATCCTTGGCACACCCCTTTTCGCACTTCCAGGCCCACATCCCACTCCGATCAGGAAGTCGCGCCAGGCGTGAGGTTAGGGTGTCACACCTTTCGGACGGAAAACGAACTTATCTGTGAGTGGGACATTGAACGGGCCTTAAGCGCAATCCCTTTTCCCTCCCAATTCCCCAACTCACACACAAGCCACGTCATCGCCGAACCCGGTGCTGTCATCATTGAGACAGACTTCGCTCCCTACCGCCTCGTGTTGCCTTTTCACTGCCTATTGGCCTCAAACCCCGTGCTCCGAGTGCCAGCAGGACAGCGAGTACCGAGTCGCATAGTTCGTTCGACGAACCCGGACTGAGGTCAAGCAGCGAGCGCACATCTTGCGCCTGAGGCCCGCTTCGTCCGACTCGAAGGCTTGTCACGAGCGACGCTGGCGATTAATTAGGCAACGCGACACGCATAGCGTTCCCCCGGTTCACCAAATCGGAGTCCAGCCTCGGCGACGAAACTCACGAGAATGGCGATGACATTCCCTAAGGCATAAAAGTCGGAGGCGGTTCGCGCTTGCTTTCCGGCATAACTGTCCCTAAGGCATGCCACAGGAGATTTCAGTTATGACCTGGAACTCTAATCCCACTATCCTAAAATCCTTGGCACACCAATTTTTTTCGCACTTTTGGGCCCCCATCCCACTCCGATCAGGAAGTCGCGCCGGGCATGAGGTTGTGACACCCAGCACCCAATTTGAAATTTGATTTTCGAATGGGGAGGTCCATTGCTTTTTAAGAGTTAAATTGTTTTTTTTTTTCGGTCGCCAGCGTCTTTCAAAATTTCCTGCCTTCGGCAGCTGAACCACACTGTGACGCCCAACCTCACGCCTGGTGCGACTTCCTGATCGGAGTGGGATGTGGGCCTGGAAATGCGAAAAGGGGTGTGCCAAGGATTTTTGGGAAAGTGGGGGTGGAGTCCCAGGTCGGAACTGAGATCTCCTGTGGCAAGGGTCCAGGGGCATAGATGCAATAGGGTTAAGGGGCGGGTTACTTCCGGTTTGACGGCGGTCGTTGTCGTGCAGCATAAGGCAGATGGCATGCATGGTGCATCAAGGGTCGCCCGATCCGTATGTTTCTGTGGCGGCGGTTCGGGAGAGGCCCGTTTGTGAGGGTTGCGATTCCTATGAGTCTGACCTTCGGGTGCAAATACGTGGCGCCTGTCGTTGCGCGTCCCGATTAGGCTCCGTGGTTTCAGAGGTTCGCCGATTGCCGCGTCGTCTGCAATTTCTGCAAGGCGCACGGGGCCAATACGGGGCGATGGAATTCCACGGCACCACCGTGAGTTGATGGTACGGGAGGAGGAGACGGAAGGGAGGGAAATTGGTAGTGATAACGACAACGCCGGGGGATATGAAGTATTGTGTGTTATACGTAGTTGGGTAATCGGGGCACCTCGGATCGCTGGTTACGGCACAGTGAAACTCCCTGGGGCACAATCGGTTCCCAGTTAGGCAGGGAAATTCCGGGTGTCTCCGCCTAAGATATTCTCTTACCCAAGGCTCGAAGTACCCTGAGTCCCATGTGTACGTCATCTTATCATTGCGGCATAATGGAAGCCATCCGCACGCATCTGACTGACAAGGGGATTTCCTGATATGGTATCGGAAATTCCTACCAGCTTAGGTGCGTGAAAGAAGGAAAATCCCCCACCTACCCGATACTGGGGGTGCCAGGTTCGTTAGTAATCGCGAATCGCCGCGTGTGGATGCGTGTAGGCCGCCCAATTCAGATCGCGCTTGCACATATCCACACAAGGTGTTCGCTTGCACCCGGGCCTGTTGGTTGACGCTTACTCCAAAGTAAGAATTTAATCCCTCATGCAAAAATCGCCATGTGTCATAGACAACTACCCAATCATCTAATCACTCAGTGGTTCCACAAACA